TACGTCTCAAATATATACAAAACATGTATGTACATGCTTTGCGTTGAATACCAAATAAACTATACGTATGAAACAAAAGTGATGTTTCATAAGTATTTCTCTCAAAGTCCTGCATTCAAAATGTTCCTCAAGTAAAAGTAGAAAAGTATTATCATCAATATATAGTTAAAGTAGCGACAGTAAAAGTAGTCATTGTGCAGATTGGTCCATTTCAGAATAATATATATGATATGTTTTCTAATGATTGATCATTAAAGTGTTCTCAAAGCTGGTAAAGGTGCAGCTAGTTTGAATGACTTTGTATACTGCAGGGTAGCTTGTGGATTTACTCCAGGTGGAACTAAAGTCTGATTTAACACTTGATTATATTTCACATCATTCATCCACATCTGTAAAGTAACTAAAGGTATTAAATAAATGTAGTGGAGTAAAAGTACACGATGTACCAAATTGAAGTGGAGTAAAGTACAAAGTATCATGAAATGGAAATACTCAAGTAAAGCACAAGTACCTCAAAATGACTTGAGTAAATGTACTTTTTACACCACTGGTGATACTTCAGTACTACTTACTTTTGAGTAATTTAATGGCAAATAAAACATGTGGCAGCAGGAGTGCCCGCTGAATGTATGAATGGTTGACTGTTGCCATGGACACGCTGCTCCGTTGCTCAGTGCTGTGTCCACCGCGCCAGGAAGGACTGTCGCACTCAGATTGGCTGCTTTTTCTCACCAGACATCGTACAACTCACCCCATTGGACAGCAGATACGGCTCTGGCGCGTGGTTGTGTTTCCCACTCGCCGATTGGCCAGAAATCTGCGGGACTAGGTAGCGCCGCATGTTGTTTGTGAGCTGTGATTGGTCAGTTGGCCAGGTAGGCTGTTCCGCTCTCCGTCGCTTCATATAAATACAGATCGCTGCCGGCCTGTCAAACACTGTTGGGCTGGAAACAAGTAACACCGAGTGATAACTATCGTGTCTCTGGAGTTAACTTCACACACAGGTGAGGAGCTTCACGTTGAAATTCAGGTGTTTAATCCCAAAGACAGCAGGCATGAACATGGCTCTGTATTTGTGTTTATCTTCTTTGTAATTGTGGTTAAATCGTCAGGATAGTAGTATAAAATACGGAGGTCCAACTGTGTAAGTTATTTTTATCCAAACTATTGAACCATTTTCCAATACACTTTTTTTGGCAAGACATTTACCAGAGATTGTACAGTGCAATCAGAGAGATACAGTACGTTCACGTATCTAGTCTTTTTCAAGTCTGTCACTACTTTGGCGCAGCTTCGCCCGGTCCTCTGCCAGCCTCTCCCAGCCGCCCGTCACAATGTCCAGGGTCCTCTTGTCACGCTTCACGACATCCTTGACATCCTTGAAGCGCAGCAGTGGTCGTCCTCTGCCTCTGGAACCAGTGCTCTGCTCGCTGTATAAGATGTCCTTTGGCAGGCAGCTATCTGGCATGCAAAGGTGACCGAGGCACTTAAAAACATAAATCAATCAATCAATCAACCAATCAATCAATCAATCAATCAATGTTTATTTATATAGCCCAATATCACAAATTTGTCTCAGTGGACTTCAGATTTTGTACAGAATATCAGTATGACAATACATCAGTGTTCATTCAGGAATTAAAGTGTTTAGACATGTGTAAAATTGTTGGGCTTTTTTAATTTTGCATAATTTAATTAACTGTTTGTATAATTGTATTTAGAAAATGAAATATAAACTGGGAAAATGTTGAGAAATGTGTTTATGAAATATAAATGTGTGTGCTAGCCGTAGGAGAGGAAGTGGGTCCGTCCGCTAATTGGTCCGGGTTGCAATCTAACTGTATATTTTATGTCTTTATCATGACCTAGCTAATTCGGTGTCCTGAATATAGTTTTTTAATCTACCTTAAATGTGTTTTTAAACACTGAAACCTAACGCTAAACAAACCTCTATGTTCTTACATTATCGACCCTCCAATGTGACTAGGGGTTACAGATTTCGGACTTAAATTCCAGGAAATCCCGTTGCCCTTTCACCTAGTTTCCTCTCCACTATCCATAACGTTATCTACAATCACAATCTCTTGTATCTAGCCGGTGAGGTATGTGTAATCTTTTAAATGAAGGACAATGATAGCAAAACTTGGCTTTAAAACCGTCCTGCTTGTGGATTTGAAGAAGCTAGCGTTAGCACATTCCTGTGTGGTTTGCTGTCTTTTTGGTAAGCTTAGTTAGTGGTGTGTGCAACCCGGTGTGCCATTAGTTTGGTTAGATTTTAAACACCAGGCTGGCAGATGATAGTATCTCAAGCACCGTACACACTGACATGACGTTAGCTAACATGCCTGTTGGTCAGTGGTCTCAGTAACCCTGCTCCTCTTACATTAGCTGAGACATACTGTTAGACCTCTAACAGTGACACGCAGATAATGTCTCATGTCTAAAGTTACCAGATGTCTCACATGGTTTGAAAGCTAATTTGCCAGATGGAGCTCTCCTTTTCCTTATTATTCTGACGGCTTGTGTTCTGTGTGTGTGAGCAGTCCCTGTTTATTCATCCATTTCAACATCAGCATGCATGATACTGTACACTGACAACACCCATATTGATCACATTAAAATAACGCCAACACCTCCTCTCTTTCCTCCAGGATGCCAGGATCAGCCCCGATCAGTGGCCTGGGACCATGGCCCAAAGATGTGGGCATCATTGCCTTGGAGCTGTACTTGCCGTCGCAGTACGTGGACCAGACGGAGCTGGAGCAGGAGGACGGGGTGGCACCCGGTAAATACACCGTGGGGCTCGGCCAGGACCGCATGGGCTTCTGCTCGGACCTTGAGGACATCAACTCTCTGTGCCTCACCGCGGTCCAGAAGCTGATGGAAAGAAACGGCCTCTCCTACGACAGCGTGGGTCGCCTAGAGGTCGGCACCGAGACCATCATCGACAAGTCCAAGTCGGTGAAGACGGTCCTCATGCAGCTGTTTGAGGACTCTGGTAATACAGATGTGGAGGGCATCGACACCACCAACGCCTGCTACGGGGGCACAGCTGCTCTCTTCAATGCTGTCAACTGGGTGGAGTCCAGCTCCTGGGATGGTGAGGGGACAGGATTGTGTACATTTGGATGTGCTGACATTTTAACATTATTGAAGTGTAGCATTATTAAGAAGTGTTTGGTATTCATTATTGCTTCAGATCCGACCTTTTTAGCAGAAAGATGTCTCTCTAATCAGCCTTACTTGTTAAAAAAAACACTCTGTTCAAAGGTCCTGTTCTGATTCTATTTAAGATAAGATACTTGTGTGTTTACTGTACATTCTGTAACCTGTCAGCCTTACTTGTTAAACAAAACACTCTGTTCAAAGGTCCTGTTCTGATGATTCTATTTAAGATAAGATACTTGTGTGTGTAATGTACATTCTGTAACCTGTGTCCTCATGTCTCCCCCCTACAGGCCGTTATGCTGTGGTTGTAGCGGGGGACATTGCTGTTTACGCCTCAGGAAGCGCGCGGCCCACAGGAGGGGCCGGGGCCGTGGCCATGCTGGTGGGGCCCAACGCTCCTCTGGCTTTTGAACAAGGTCAGTGAGGAGGGTGTGTTGTTGTTCACAAAGATCAGGCAGCACTCTTCAATCATTGACTGATTGATAAGACCCCACTGTCAATCAGCCTGTCCCATCATCACCATGTGTACCTACTGCTGGTGAAGGGAAGGTTCTTTCCGGATCTCTGTTTACCTTTGTGATTCTTATCGTTTTAATGTATGATTGACTATTGAGTGATTTTTACAACGTGCACAGGTAAGATGAGTTATGTGTTGAACTAAATCTTAGTATCAGAAACTAGCACCGTCATTCTGGGAAAGTTTATTAACAGAAACCTTTTTTTTTATAGTGAGCATAAAACTAAATAACATTTTTGCAAAGATGTGTTTTGAAGCATCAGCATTAGACATTCAGTCATACATGCCTAGACACGTTTCACTTATAGAAGAATCTAAATGGCTCCTGTGTCTCCTGCAGGTCTGAGAGGAACCCACATGCAGCACGCCTACGACTTCTACAAGCCCGACCTGATGTCAGAGTATCCCGTGGTGGACGGAAAGCTGTCCATCGAGTGCTACCTGAGCGCCTTGGACCGCTGCTACGCTGTGTACCGCAACAAGATCCACGCTCAGTGGCAGAAAGGTGGGTCAAAGGTCATCCATAGAATGATCCTACAACATTTACAAGGTTCCAGGTTATGTTATCTTATCTGTATAGCACATTGTAAGACACCGCGGCAACTCAAAGTGCTTCACATAGGCATTTAACATATAATAATTCAAAACAAGACAATTCATAAAAGTGATAAAATACTGGCTGCAGCTCAAAGTGCAACGATAAGGCACGGTTAAAGGATCTTTGATTTAAAAGAACCATGGGTTGGGCGGACCTCTGACTTTCACGCAGTTTGTTCCAGGCTTGTGTTGCATCAAAGCTAAAAACAAGTGAAGGCTTCTTTCTATACCTGACAGGACAGATGTGGGTGTGACATGAACTCATACTCAACTCTCTTATTTGGTTTACCATAAGCAGAAGTTGTGAGTAGTACGTGACTGATACTAGACAACATGTGCAGACCACAGATTTGCTCCACCAAAGGAAATGTCAGCCAGCAGAACTGTGCAGTGTTCATATGAAGAAGTGCGGACATTATTCTGTTGAGCTGCTAATGAAAGGAGCCAGTGAGAAACACACTGTGTCACGTTGAAGATTAAGTCACAGCAGTTTGCATGGCATTGCATAACGATCAGCCACGAACCCTACTCTTTAATCTGCAATGGAGAAAAACATTTGAAGAGTATTTTGTACCAAAAGCGTGTGGTGCTTAAAAACTTCTACAAATACCCATCTAGAGAGAGGCGAAGTCCCTCCCTTTCCGGGGGACCTCCATGGGACCTTATTTCGGAAAAATTATGCATTGGGTCAATGGGGAGAGAAAGATTATCTTTCGATCCGGTTTGAATTGAGCCACGAATTACACATATGATGTTTGTCAATTTAAAAGATAATTTTACAAGTCTAAAAAAAAAGAATGTGTCGTAAAACTGTGAAGTAACACTTTTTTTTGTGTGAAACCGCTCAATGAACTACATCTCCCGTCTCGCACCACACACCCAGACGGCCGTCACGTTGGCACATTTCACTTCTTTCTTTCAGAATGAGGCGGAAAGTATTAAAAGAGGTGAAAATCACTCCAAGTCTGGGCATGTTGAGAGCTGTACATACACACAAGGGGAGTTAGTCGGTTCCTAAGAGCCAGCATGCGGGACCGCGATTCTGGGATTTGTAGTCTTTCTAGTTGCGTATTTTTCATAGTCTTATATTTCAACAGTTTTACGACAAACTGTGACTTTTTTGACTTGGAAATGATTTTTTAAGATTGACAAACATCATATGTGTAATTCGTGGCACAATTCAAACGGGATCGAAAGATAATCTTTCTCTCCCCATTGACTTCAATACATAATTTTTCCGAAATAAGGTCCCATGGGTCGGAAGTAGATGGACGGGACTTCGCCTCTCTACGGCTCCAGCAAAAAACTTTAGTTGTAATATTCCAGTTGACGGACACAGTGTTGCTTCTTCCTCTCCCGTTTGCTCCGAGTCAAAGTCTCTGCTCTCTAACAGCTGATTAGTTAAGAGGTTTAGGACACTACCGGCTCGCTGTGCTAAGAAGTTTACGTCAGTTCACTGAGCATAAAGTGCTTTAATGACATGAGCCTTTCACCTCATGTTTCCACATTTACCATATGTGAGAACAAGAGGCTGTTGAAGACACATTATGAAGTGTAAATAAGAAGCACTGAATGATAGCTCTTCTCTCCAGGCTTGGTATGATGGGCTGTGTTTGCACATCAGCTCTTTAGCATGTGGCCGTGCGCCTGACCTTTTTAAATGAGCTCAGTTGGTGTTTGGTGCCTAGAGCCGTGTGCAAAGAGGAGAAACCAGATGAGTGGCGTGTGCAAATAATGCAGTCCAGACTCCAGTCCATATTTCTTAGACAAGATCCTTCCATTTATGGCTTACTCAGTTATCATCTTTTAACCAATTCCTTGTAATATGTTTAAATATTTCTACTCGTATTAAAAGGAACATTTGCGAATACTTCTCTTGATCGCTTCTGGAGTTTTTCAACTATTAGACTTGAGTTGTCATTTAGAGAAATACCAAAAACACTTCACAGTTCTCTTATTGAAGAAGCTTTACATGACCAAAATATACTACTCTGATTTGTCTCCTGCTGTGTGTATGTAGTGCATTATTGAGAACAGTTTAAAGCAGTGTGTTCACGGTTTTGTTCCTGGTTCCTCTTCCCCTCAGAGGGCTCAGAGGAGCGCTTCAGCCTGGAGGACTTCGGCTACCTGGTCTTCCACTCTCCGTACTGCAAGCTGGTGCAGAAGTCTCTGGCCAGGCTGATGCTCAACGACTTCCTGCTCCACCCCAACCCCAACACTGAGACGGGACCCTTCACCGGCCTCGACGCCTTCAGGTACACCCGCAGTAACACTCTGGAACAAAACACCTGCTTTTAAAGGTCACCTATTATGCAAAATCTTTTATACATAAACATATGTCCCCTCGCCTTACTATTAGTGAAGTCAGTTTCTTGAAACCATGCCAGTAAGAAGTGTGAAGATTATTTGTAAATCATGCTCTCTTTGAAAAACACAGCTCTGTTGTTCTATGACCCCACGAGGAAACACTTTCTCATCCTGTGTGTGTGTTTGAATCACAGAGACGTGAAGCCAGAGGAGACGTACTTCGACCGGGACGTGGAGAAGGCTTTCTTGAAGGCCAGCACAGATATGTTTGAGAAGAAGACCAAGCACTCCCTGCTCGTCTCCAACCAGAACGGAAACATGTACACGCCCTCGGTCTACGGCTGCCTGGCATCGCTCATCGCAACGTACGTATCACTGTCACACTCCTGTCTGTCTCAGAGTCACTCTCCTGTCTGTCTCAGAGTCACTCTCCTGTCTGACGCAGAGTCACTCTCCTGTCCGTCTCAGAGTCAGTCTCCCGTCTGACGCAGAGTCACTCTCCCGTCTGTCTCAGAGTCAGTCTCCCGTCTGACGCAGAGTCACTCTCCCGTCTGTCTCAGAGTCACTCTCCCGTCTGTCTCAGAGTCACTCTCCTGTCTGTCTCTGAGTCACTCTCCTGTCTGACGCAGAGTCACTCTCCTGTCCGTCTCAGAGTCAGTCTCCCGTCTGACGCAGAGTCACTCTCCCGTCTGTCTCAGAGTCACTCTCCCGTCTGTCTCAGAGTCACTCTCCCGTCTGTCTCAGAGTCACTCTCCCGTCTGTCTCAGAGTCACTCTCCCGTCTGTCTCAGAGTCACTCTCCCGTCTGTCGCAGAGTCACTCTCCCGTCTGGTCTCAGAGTCACTCTCCCGTCTGTCTCAGAGTCACTCTCCCGTCTGTCTCAGAGTCACTCTCCCGTCTGTCTCAGAGTCACTCTCCCGTCTGTCTCAGAGTCACTCTCCCGTCTGTCTCAGAGTCACTCTCCCGTCTGTCTCAGAGTCACTCTCCCGTCTGTCTCAGAGTCACTCTCCCGTCTGTCTCAGAGTCACTCTCCCGTCTGTCTCAGAGTCACTCTCCCGTCTGTCTCAGAGTCACTCTCCCGTCTGACGCAGAGTCACTCTCCCGTCTGACGCAGAGTCACTCTCCCGTCTGACGCAGAGTCACTCTCCCGTCTGACGCAGAGTCACTCTCCCGTCTGACGCAGAGTCACTCTCCCGTCTGTCTCAGAGTCACTCTCCCGTCGGACGCAGAGTCACTCTCCCGTCTGTCTCAGAGTCACTCTCCCGTCTGTCTCAGAGTCACTCTCCCGTCTGACTCAGAGTCACTCTCCCGTCTGTCTCAGAGTCACTCTCCCGTCTGTCTCAGAGTCACTCTCCCGTCTGTCTCAGAGTCACTCTCCCGTCTGTCTCAGAGTCACTCTCCCGTCTGTCTCAGAGTCAGCTCTCCCGTCTGTCTCAGAGTCACTCTCCCGTCTGACGCAGAGTCACTCTCCCGTCTGACGCAGAGTCACTCTCCCGTCTGTCTCAGAGTCACTCTCCCGTCTGTCTCAGAGTCACTCTCCCGTCTGTCTCAGAGTCACTCTCCCGTCTGTCTCAGAGTCACTCTCCTCCCGTCTGTCTCAGAGTCACTCTCCCGTCTGTCTCAGAGTCACTCTCCCGTCTGTGTCAGAGTCACTCTCCCGTCTGTGTCAGAGTCACTCTCCCGTCTGTGTCAGAGTCACTCTCCCGTCTGTGTCAGAGTCACTCTCCCGTCTGTGTCAGAGTCACTCTCCCGTCTGTCTCAGAGTCACTCTCCCGTCTGTCTCAGAGTCACTCTCCCGTCTGTCTCAGAGTCACTCTCCCGTCTGTCTCAGAGTCACTCTCCCGCCTGTCTCAGAGTCACTCTCCCGCCTGTCTCAGAGTCACTCTCCCGCCTGTCTCAGAGTCACTCTCCCGCCTGTCTCAGAGTCACTCTCCCGCCTGTCTCAGAGTCACTCTCCCGTCTGTCTCAGAGTCACTCTCCCGTCTGTCTCAGAGTCACTCTCCCGTCTGTCTCAGAGTCACTCTCCCGTCTGTCTCAGAGTCACTCTCCCGTCTGTCTCAGAGTCACTCTCCCGTCTGTCTCTGAGTCACTCTCCCGTCTGTCTCAGAGTCACTCTCCCGTCTGTCTCAGAGTCACTCTCCCGTCTGTCTCAGAGTCACTCTCCCGTCTGACGCAGAGTCACTCTCCCGTCTGACGCAGAGTCACTCTCCCGTCTGTCTCAGAGTCACTCTCCCGTCTGACGCAGAGTCACTCTCCCGTCTGACGCAGAGTCACTCTCCCGTCTGACGCAGAGTCACTCTCCCGTCTGACGCAGAGTCACTCTCCCGTCTGACGCAGAGTCACTCTCCCGTCTGTCTCAGAGTCACTCTCCCGTCGGACGCAGAGTCACTCTCCCGTCTGTCTCAGAGTCAGTCTCCCGTCGGACGCAGAGTCACTCTCCCGTCTGTCTCAGAGTCACTCTCCCGTCGGACGCAGAGTCACTCTCCCGTCTGTCTCAGAGTCACTCTCCCGTCTGTCTCAGAGTCACTCTCCCGTCGGACGCAGAGTCACTCTCCCGTCTGTCTCAGAGTCACTCTCCCGTCGGACGCAGAGTCACTCTCCCGTCTGTCTCAGAGTCACTCTCCCGTCTGTCTCAGAGTCACTCTCCCGTCTGACGCAGAGTCACTCTCCCGTCTGTCTCAGAGTCACTCTCCCGTCTGTCTCAGAGTCACTCTCCCGTCTGTCTCAGAGTCACTCTCCCGTCTGTCTCAGAGTCACTCTCCCGTCTGTCTCAGAGTCAGTCTCCCGTCTGACGCAGAGTCACTCTCCCGTCTGACGCAGAGTCACTCTCCCGTCTGTCTCAGAGTCACTCTCCCGTCTGTCTCAGAGTCACTCTCCCGTCTGTCTCAGAGTCACTCTCCCGTCTGTCTCAGAGTCACTCTCCCGTCTGTCTCAGAGTCACTCTCCCGTCTGTGTCAGAGTCACTCTCCCGTCTGTCTCAGAGTCACTCTCCCGTCTGTCTCAGAGTCACTCTCCCGTCTGTCTCAGAGTCACTCTCCCGTCTGTCTCAGAGTCACTCTCCCGTCTGTCTCAGAGTCACTCTCCCGTCTGTCTCAGAGTCACTCTCCCGTCTGTCTCAGAGTCACTCTCCCGTCTGTCTCACCACTCGCTGCAGTCATGTGATCAAGAGGCAGGAAGTCTAGTCGTCCGGGAATGTATAAATGCCCAAGTAACAAAATGTCTCTGAATGTATTTCTCAGAGCAATGTAAGCTGACAGGACTCACTTACCAACTCCCATATTTACCTGATGCTACTTCATCTTAAAGTGAACGCATCTTATTTAATTTTGACCTATCCCGTACATTTTAACCTATAATCTTAAAGTACAACAATAGCTAATTACACAGTTAAAAACAGGACATTTACTCTCAGTTGTTCAGTGAAGTCCCTGCACACTGAACATTTTCAGACTGTAAATGACTCGAATGAATGAAACAGATGAAGAATTGAGTTGTGTGTGTGTTTAAATAGAATGTGTGTTTCCTCCATTGCAGACACAGCGCCTCTCAGATAGCCGGACAGAGAGTCGGAGTTTTCTCGTACGGCTCAGGGTTCGCTGCCACTCTGTATTCCATCAGAGTGACACAGGACCACACGCCAGGTGAGAACACTGCTCTGAACGTGTGAGTGCAGTCATTATAACACAGTGGAAACTAACAGAAGGTTAACTCTCTGATCCAGGATCTGCTCTGGACAAACTGGTGTCCAGCCTGAGCGACCTGAAGCTGCGTCTGGACTCCAGACAGAAGGTTTCTCCTCCCGTCTTCTCCGAGTGCATGAAGCTGAGACAGGAGACGCATCACTTAGGTATGAGAACTGTCCCTGCTGAGACTGAGTCCTTCTTGTCTATAGAGATGTTATATCATCAACAGAAAGGTCATGTTTGAAGGCTTTGATGAAGTAAACTGTCAAATAAAATGCAAAAATGTAAAAGTAAGTAAATGCAGGAGTGTATATATGCATGTAAACAGAATAAGATAAACAAGAACAGAATGTAAATACTGTACAGGGAAATAAGATACTGTATGTTGTAGTAATAAATACATTATTAGATGCTTACAGACGAATGATAGGCTATTATGTCAGGAAGTTAAACCACCGGCTTTAATAATAGATTACATTTGTATAGCGCCTTTCAAGGGACCCAAGGCCGCTTTACATGGTAAACAAACAAACAAACAAAAGGGGTATATAAATAATAACGTAAAAATTAAATAAATGGCAGTATGAGTGGAAGAAGGCTTTGTTTTGATATCTTCGATCCTGTGTTTCTCACTACCTCCTTCCTCCTTCCTCCTCTCCTCCCCCCCCACACAGCCCCCTACGTCCCCAGCAGCTCTGTGGAGGATCTGTTCCCCGGGACGTGGTACCTGACCCGAGTGGATGAGAAGCACCGCAGGGAGTACGCCCGCAGCGCCCCCGGCATAGAGCTGTCTGCAGAGTCAGAGGGGGTCCGCTCCACCACCGCCACAGAGGTACAGGGACATATCTGATGTACATCCAGATCATTCTGTTGTTGAGGCTATATGAACTTTTCTACTATAGTATAATAGTGAAGTCAGTGGTACTGCACCCTTCTGCTCCAACATGATATCTAATGTAGATCCAGATCATTCATTACCCTGTGGTTGAGGCTATATTAACTATTACGTTTATACTATAGTATTAGTGAAGTCAGTGGAGGGAACACAGGGATTGTAGCCTTTGCAGACCGTTTACATGCACTAAAACTTATATAACACACTACATGAAAGGGGAAAAACACAAAAAGAAGAATAAGGACTCTTTAATCCAGGGGTGTCAAACTCAATTTCATCGCGGGCCACATTAGCGTTATGGTTGCACTCAAAGGGCTGGTTGTAACTTTAAGACTATATATATATATATATATATATATATATATATATATATATATATATATATATATATATATATATATATATATATATATATATCTATATATATCTATATATATATATATATATATATATATATATATATATATATATAAAATAATGTATTATATGACATTATTGGCTCTGCATTGGATTATTATCAGTTCTGGTAACAACTTCATAAATAACTACGTCTGAAAGCAGAAGTCTAGGGTTAGTAATTGAAAGCAAATATTCAACAATTACATCTATTGTATATTATATTCTTTGCAAGCCACATAAAATGAGGTCGCGGGCCTCGTGTTTGACACCCCTGATGTAAATGGTCTGCAAAGGCAAAAAGAAACCGTATATAACACACTACAGGAAAGGGAAACCCCCCCCCCCCCCCCCCCCAAAAGAAAAAAAAGGACTCTTTAATCTGTACCTATGTTTGTTTATTACCAAAGAGTTCATGTCCTTGTTTTTTCTCCAGCAGCACATCCCCAGTCCAGCCAAGAAGATGCCTCGTATCCCAGCAACCCCCGGGGCTCCCATCAGCAACTGAGAAACTGAGATCCCCCCCCCCCCCCCCCCCCAAATCTGAGAGGAGCTCCAACAGTGAGGAGAAAAAACTAGACGACTAGAGGTCAGAAGGCCAGCAGGAGACCAGCGTCACCTCGGAAAACATTAAAGTTAATTATAGTGGATTCTGTGGACAGACCCCCCAATCATTTCTTTTAGCGATCCTTCATTTCAATGCACAGGCAAGATGTTGTGCATGAACAGCTGCTGATCTCCATGGGAACGAGCACACTTCCTGCTGGTGACAGGAAGAGAAAATGGACATGATTAAAAGATCAAAGAGAAGTCGGTGTGAAGCCTCTCTCCGCTGCTTCTGTTCAATACCTCAGTTTTTTTTTATGAATGGAAGTGGACCGCATCATGTGACCAAACATCGGGAACAGAGGTACTGGGAGTGATGCCCCCCCGCCCCCCCCCCCAATCAAAACCAACATGTAGCTGAGCTCATATGTGAATGTTAGGAGACCCTCGTCCACACACACACACACACACATGCTTGTTTACAGGAAGTGATGATTTCTATTTGCCTTTTAATTGCCATGAAATGTCTAAACCCATTGATTTGGCCCCGCATCACGTCATAAAGCACATTTTAATTTGACCATCCATGAAACAAATGGAGCAGAACATGTTTTTAATGGGAATAATAATTCTCTTTGCTCGTTTTTAGCAGAGGGCCCCTTACGAGATATAGAATATACATGTATGTCCCTGTGAATAATGTGCCACAGCCTATTTTTTAAACTATATATACAATATATTCGACATGTATCTAACATATATGTAAAGTTTAATATTTGTTAGATTAGGAAAATAATCAGAGCGATTTATAGATTTAAAAATAACTATTTTGGTTAAAAATATCACGTTTATATCATACTGGTGTGAAAAAATTTGCGATTTTGGATTTTAATGTACATGTTTTATGGGAACTAAATTAATAATTAGGTTGAAAAAGATGCCCAGATGTTTTCCAGATCACTTTACAACCCTACATGTAGTTTCCCTCTCACCTCACATTCATCCTCTGACGTGGGAATACATTGAAGTAGAAACCTCTTTTTAGCCCAATATGTTAGTTTAAAAAGTTGTCATTACATCATGTGAAGAAAAGCGCTTCAGCATCAGTGGGTTTAGACTTTTCCAAACCATGTCGGGCCACATTTAAAACTCGCCACCTGTCAGGAAGCAGTGAGAAGATGCAATTCATATTCATTCACCTGGTGTTGGAGTCAGTTTCAGAGAGCCCTGCAATACTCACTACTTCCACCAGGCTCCGTTTGGCCGCTGCTGTGTGAACGTTATCATGGTCTTTCTAATTAGATTTGAAATGAGTGCAGACCAATCCAGATTACACTCTGAAGGCTACATGAAGAGTCCTTTGTGTTGCATCATTGATGGTTGATATGCATGTGTGGCAGAGAATATGATCTCTGTGTGTGTCGTTATCTGACGTCACATTCACTCATCCTGAAGCCTTAATGTGAAAGGGCTGCTTCAGTGAGGTCAGCTTCATATCTGACGACAGCAAATGTTTGTTTTTTTTAAGTCTCATTGTTGCTTTTCTTCTTGACGACTGCAACAAGAAACCAAAAGGAAGACATCAGCCTTATTACATGATCCCAGTTGCTCCTGCTGATGTTGGACTGGATCCAACGATCACGGGATCAGACGGTGAACGTGCAGGTTCTGGAGAAGCCTCTCTATAAGACTGCATGATAACACAATGCTTCTCCTCTCATCGTGTACAGATATTATATGTACAACTGAGTTTTCTTGGTCTGACTGGAACATTACGTCTGTGTAGGGCCGCCTCTAAGGTCACATGATCTTTACTAATGTTAATGTACAGCACACACTAAGATTATTTATATGCTGTGTAGATATGAACAGATTAATTTTATCCAGACGGTTTGTATCAGTGTGTAGATATTCAGAATAAATGGACAGAACATGTGTGGTGTGTGTGTGTGACTACTTTTTCCACTTGTCTGTGCATACTGCTAAGTATGAAGTCATTGGTATGCTTATACGTTTTCAATGCTAGTTAACCATAAAACAAGTTCATATCCCCCTCTCATAAACTCAAAACAAATAGAAAATGGAGAAGAGGTATAGAGGAAAGGAGAGAAAACATGTTATATGTTTAGCAGAAGAGATTTCCCATTACCACCCGAACAATTATTAACCAAATAAAACACTGAATGAGCCTCACAGCTAATTAGCCACAGAAATGCCTCCAAAGTACCATGATGCATCACTCCACAGCAGGTAGTACCAGGGGTTAAATTGGGCCGGGGCTGGACGATGCTCTGACGTCATCACCCTCGCACATTTGTCATGTTTACAAAAACCGATATATATGTTAACACTTTTCTCGTTCTTAATATAGACTATATTTAGGGTCGATAAGTGTTGACTTTACTTAAAGGGGACCTATCATGCAAAATGCACTTTTGTACGTCTTTTATACATGAATATGTGTCCCCGGTGTTCCAGGGAACTCACCAAGTGTCAGAAAACACAACCCTCTCTATTTTCCTCCATACCCAAATCTCTAAAAAAGGGGCTGCAACGGATCTGATAAAAACTGATCCAGATTTGAACACTGTCCTGACGTCAGGACGGTGGCGCTACGGCTATTGGGCCAACTCCACCAATCAGGAGGAGACAGACACGGCCATTGCCGTTCGAAAGCGCTGGAGACGCTGTAGTACATATGCCAGGCCTGTAGGTGGTGCTGTTCTCACAGAATCTGCCCAGAGCTAGAAATTGTCAAATTGAGCGAAATGAGGCATGGCTAAAATGCATGATCTGTTTGGTATTTAAAAAAAAAAAAAGTATAAATATTGCCTTATATAGGTATGGTCCTACACTATATTATTCAAATATAGCATGATAGGTCCACTTTAA